GCCTGTTGCTATAGAAAAACAGAATGTCCCCGTGCTGTGGAAATGCCAAATCGCTAAAAAAAAAAAAAAAAAAGAAAAAAAGAAAGAAAGAAAAAAAATCCCGCCACCCCCCAGCAGGGGTCTCCTTCTAAGCCAGAGGATTCAAACCCTGAGTCCACCACATCCAGGCTGTGTGCTTAAGCAAATGCCTTTACTTAAGCACACACAGCCTGTGGGTCTCACTTTCTTCATCTGCAAAATAGGCAGAAAAGTTTGTTCTTATCTCTTCATGATTTTGGCAGGGTAATAGGAAATCCTGACTCATTGGTATAAATGAGGGAAAAAAATTGATTATCTCAAACAATCATAAGAAACCCTATGGTAGGGTAGCTCCAGGGTTCGTTAATTCAATAGCACAATGGTGTCATCAAGGACCCATGTCCTTTTCATCTGTCTGTTCCACCAAGCCCTTTCATGGTCACAAAATGGCTGCTGCAGTTCTGGACATCACATCCAGACCTGACAGTGCCCAGCAAAAGAGAAGACAGTGTTTTTTATATTTCTCTTTTTTCCCCCAGAATTCTTCCTCCTTTGGCAGACTTTCCCTTCTGTCTCACGGTCCAGAACTGGTTCACATGGCTATTCCTATACCAATACCTAGTAAGGGAGATAGAGTCACAGTGGTTGGCTCGGCGAAAGCCCATGACTGTAGAGCAGAGTGGAGAACTCTGAACAAAATGAGGTGCTGTGAATAAGGAAGAGAGTCATGACTTTTGGAGAGGCATCCACACCAGTCCATGAGGTCCCACACATGGTTCCTGAAATATGAATGCCAAGCACTGAGCACAGCGCCTAACACATGGCAGGTGCCTTATGTGTGTTCATTTGTTCTCTCCTTTTTGGGCTTCCCTCCAAAAACACAAGACTCCCAGCCTGGCCTCTCCTGACCCAGCCTCCCGCCCTCCATCCCTCGGGCTGGGGTCTCCACTGCCCAATGCCCCTTCTACCCTGTCCTCTGGTTCCATCACCACCACCTCCTTTTGTTTCTGTCTCAAAAGCTTGGGATGAACAAGGATCTCCCCATTGTCCCCCATGACTTCAGATTCCTAAAAAATAAAAGACGGGACGTGCTCGATTCTCATGCAAATGCTTTTGCCAGGGAGTCAAAAATTAATAACAGTATAAACAGAGGCCTGGAGTATTTCACCACCCCGTCCAAGCAACCAGAGTGATCAGAATACACCGTTATCCGGGCAAGGTGTGGAGACTGACTGCCAACTACATTATTACATTCGGAAATGTCAGAAGCGTGCGAACGCCGGGAGGAGATGAACAGTATGGTTGAAAATGACTTATGATTAAAAAAAAAAGATCCCCAGCATTCATCTAAAACAATAATAACAGCCAATAATAACAGTGCATGTAATAATGAACTATTCACAGGCATAAGAGGTAATTGTTCAATTAAGATCCAAGAGTTTCTGAGACTGTCTTTTCTGATGGGGTCCCATTGTTTTTGACTCTGGTAGCACTAATTATTTCCCAGTAGCGCTTTAAAGTTGGGATGAAAAAAACCCTGCTGTCACACATGACACACAAGTGCTTTAACATTATTAAATACACATACACGCACATAATAAGAAATCCTTGTTGGAATAAAGTTAAGCGTATGTTCAAACTGACAGTCTCCAGGGTTCAGCGGAAGTGGCAGGCAACAGCCAGGGTCTTACCCCACTGCAGAAGCGATCTGGCCTCACCACCTCTCACCCCTCAGGGGTCAGAGTGTTTTCTCTCCAGGATGGGGTCTGAGGGCAGAATGCCTGGGTTCAAATCCCACCTCCACCACTTACCAGCCAGCTGCCCTGGGCAAGTGTCTTCCCCTCTCTGATCCTCCGTTTCCCCATTTATAACATGGAGTGCAGTGGACATTCAGTTTTTTGGGTTTTGTTTTTTGTTTCTTTTTGGCCTCACCAGATTCTAGTTACTCTTTCTTCTATTGTCCGTATTCATTAGCTATTGCCACAGAATTGATGCCTGCACTTGAAAAAAATCACAAAACTCAATGACATACAAAAAAAAATGTTTTTGGTCCTGCATCTGTGGGGTCCCTCTGATCTCTGCGAGGCTTGCCTGGGATGACATAGCTCTATTCCACGTTCTCTCACCCTCCTCCCGGGTGCTGGCGCCGGCATGTCTGCTAACATCCCACTGGTTAAAACAAGTCACATGGTTAAACCCAGGGATGCAAACTTATGCTTTGCCCACAGTCGAAAGACAAAGTTGTACTGCAAAGGAATGGCTAAAGGGAAGAGTCAGGGCCACTGAAGCAGTCTAGCACAGGTATCAACACTCCAACTTTCCTCGGGAACTTCCCCTCCCCACGCTCAGTCCCTGTAGTCCGGGAGAAGTTAACATCACCCCTGGTTCTAGCTCTACCTTTCAGAGATCCTGATCCTCAGGTTTTTCTCCATTAAAGAGAGATTAGTGAGTGTCAGGGAGGTCATCAAAAGCCCAGAAACATCAAACTGAGACCATGTCCTAATCAGGAGGGACGTTTTCCTCTAAGTGATTCTATGTCTAATGTGTCCCCTGAAAATATTTTGACATACCACCAGTACCTGCCCTATATTTTGAAGGACATTGGGAAAGGTCATCTTTCAGATCTTACAGGAACAAACAAAATCTCAATGGCCTGAAAATATTTTAAGTTCCCCCTAAACAGCTTTTGAGTTATAGAATATCAACACCCAAACCACCAAATATTTAGAAAATCACAGTTGAAAAAGTTACTATGTATTTAGCTGAAAATGTTCTCAGAGGAAAATTCATAGCCTACAATTCTTTCGTTATTTTTTTTTAAATGAATGAATTAAACATTCACCTCACTAATTTATGGAGTCTCTTTGAGTTGAGAGGGTGTTTTGATTTTGTGGGCCAGCCCATCATAAAACCCCCTAGAGAAATGACCTCTTTATAGCCCCAGAATAAGTCATAGCCGTTTTCCGTGACAATGTTGCCCAGATCGGATAGAGGGGTGGGCATCTGGGAGAAGGCTTGTCGCAGATGTTACTGGCTGCCTAGGCAACATTGGTTTCCCCATCCTCCTTTCCCACAGAACCGAGACCTGGCTGGGGAAACTACCTTTCTCCATATTGCCTTCTGCTGCTTTGAGACAACTGCTGCTTCCAGCCTGCTGATTGGCTGAAGCATGGGACACATGACACAATTCTGGCCAATAATACAAGAGGAGAGGTTGGCTGTGTCTCATAAAAAGAGACACAGGAAGAACTATTTCTCCTTCTTCTTCTGGATGCTGCCGAACCTGGATGTGATTCCTGAAACAGTGGCGCCGTCTTGTTTCTTTGATGGAGGCCTGTGTGAGGAAAAAGCCAGCACATCTGCTGGGTAGTGCCTAGCACAGTGCCTGATAAATGTTTGAAGGGATAAATGAGCTGGCAGAACACTTAATGAATCACAGAGACTGAATGAACCAGCCTTACTGCCCTTCCTAACTTGGGACTTCCTGCCGAGACAATAAATATTCTTTTCTTCAAGCCAGTGTAAGTTTTCTGACTTGCTGCCCCAAACACATAACTGTTGGAACACCACAACCACAATCCTCTCTTCTTTGACAGGCCCAGGGAATCATCTGACCTTCACAAAAGCTGTGCCCCATCTTACAGTTGAGGACACTGAGAATCAGAGTTTAGGCCCTACCCACGGTTACCCAGAAGGCTTGGCTCAGCCAGGGAGGGCATCCCAGCCCCCAGCACAGGATTGGCTCAGGCATGACATGTGACCCGAGTCCGTCCAATCAGAATGGCTCTTGGGACCTCCATTGAGAATGGTGGAATGAGGAAGCAAGTAGCCCTGGGAGAAGCGGGGTCATCCCTGGATCACGAGGACAGCCCATCAGCCCCTGCCCATCAGCAACATAGAGGGAGATGGAAAGAATGCGTCTGTGGGAAGGTTGGCGCCCCTCAGCCACCCTCAGCGGTAATACAATGAGTCTCCCCTTCATTCTCATATAGCTGAACAGACTATACGCCATCCTTCTGACCGACGGGGACATGGAGGCCCAGAGTAAAGGGACCCATTGCCACAGTTTGGGCAGAGGGTGTGAACTCGGGTCTCAGACCCCACGCCCTGTGCGTCTCCCACTGCAGCTGCCCTTGGCCAGGTCCTCAGAGACCCAAGCTCTTCTCAACTGAAGCTTCAGAGAGGAAGTAAGGCCTAGTCCAAGCCGGGACCAGGAACCTGGGAGGTCGGAGGGAAACCAGCTGGCTGCAAATTCCTCCACTTCAAGGTGGAGCAGCAGGATGGGGTATTTTGGGGGCCTCTCCTCATGCCCAGAGCCTTGATCAGCAGCGGGGTGGGACCCTGGGGAGAATGGCTGCCCTCAGAAGGGAAGCAGGTCGGCCTTCAACTCCAGCTCACATTCACAGCCCCGACGGCAGGCGGTCCCATCCACAAGCACTCTCACGGCTCCAGTCACCACCGCTGTCCTTACTAAGGCCATCATCCTCAACATCACCCCACTGCTGACACCGGATGGCTCACCCATCTCTGTGCCTGTCAACTCCGCCTCTGCTCTGCCCTCTCCCAGCAGCCTTCCTACCCACCAGCACATCACTGTCCCCCCACCAGCATCACTATCCCACGATGGGCTTTACGATCTCCCCACTGGCATTACTCTCCCCCACCAGTGTCATTACGCGCTCCCAGCATTTCGACAGATCTACTCTCTCCCCCCAGCATCACTATCCCTCCGCCAGCACTCCTCCTCTCCTCACTCCCTTTGTCTCTACCTTCCCATCACACTCCACTCTCACCTCCATCTCTCAGGCCACCACCCCCCATCCAGCCCCCACCAACCATCACCCTAAACGTCACCTTGGTCATTACTACTAACCCTCGTTCTGTTCTCATCCCCACCGCCCCATCCCCCCGACACAGGCCTCTCTTAGCTCGTCCATCTCTGTGCTGTCATCCCCGTGCCTATTACCGTCTTCCCCACCGTCTCCACCATCAGTGAACATTTATTGAGCACCAACAATCCCCTACAGAACGCACAGAAGGCGCAGCCCCACCCCGAGTGCCCGGCCCTTCAGCAAAGCCACCTACTTCAGCCCAGGGTGGTCTGTGCGGCCACAGCGTGGGGCGGGGCCGGGGGCTTAGCCGGCGGCAGTGCACCTGGGACGGCGGCCCGAGGCCTCTGCCAGGCTCCGGTTGGGGGTGGAGGTGGTGCCACTTTCCTGAGAACAGAGCAAATAAATAATGGAGAGGCCAGGGTCTGAGCCCTGGTGGGCGGAGAAACTGGTGTTGCTTATGTGACTCCATGGGAGTGAGACAGGCGGCCAGGAGCCTCGTGCCCGGGTGGGGAGGTGGGGCTGGAGGCAGGAGCCTGGGGACCAGAGGGTCCTGGGGCCTCCCTGGCATCTCCACCTGGCCCTCACCTCTGGGGGTCGAACAAGGGTGCGGGGGACACCCCAGGAGGCGCCGCTGAAATGCGGGTGGACTAGAAATGGGCGGTGGAAGGGACCCTACTCCTGCCTGCAGCCCCTAGAGGGGGGCGTCGTCAGTCCTCCACCTGGGGGGATAACTCTGCTGGTGGCCGTCACAGCTGGGGTTCCCCACGTTGTCCAGAGGCACCACCACCTCGTCCGGGTTCGAGTTCTTGTTCAGCTCCACCACGCGGGGCACCACCGAGGACCAGCGATCTGTAGTGAGCGTGGCGGAGGGAAGGGTGAGGGTTGGCGGAGAGTGCACATGCATATATTGAGCACCTTCTGTGTACCTGGCACTCCACAGTGCTCTAAAGGGGGAGGTATATTATCCCTGTTTTATAGAGGTGGAAAGTGGGGCTCAGAGAGGTCACAGAGTCTGCCCAGGAACACACAGGAGTAAATGAAAGAATAAGAAATTCAAGCCTGGGTCAGGACGCCTGAGTGCCCATGACCTCTCCACTGCATGTCATGCACTCAGCTGAGTGGAACGGAGGGGCCCCAGGCCTTCACAAGCAGCAGAGGAAGCTCAGTGGCCAGCCCATCAGACCCTTCCATTCTACAGATGAGAACACTGAGTCCCAGAAAAGGGACAGGACTGCTCAAAACAAATCAGTGAGGAGCAGGACCAGGGCTCCCCCTCTGCACCCCTGAATGTCCCCCACCCCTCCACTCCGCCCTCTACTCACCTCTCCGGAGGCGGCCCACGGTGTGCGAGAAGCCGTAATACTGGTAGTTCTCGTTCTTGCCGGGGTCCTCGTTAATGATGCCCAAGTTCTGGTTCCAGTGAGACCAGTTTACCTCATCCACCCTGGTGGGGCCACAGCAGAGGGAGGGTGAAGGGGAGCTCCCCAGAGATAGCACCCCTTCCCCACCCCCAGGCAGCATCCCTGTTCCAGCCTCCCAGCATACCCTCCTACTTTTTTTTTATTCTGATAAAATATATATAACATAAAATTTGCCATTTCAACCACTTTTTTTTTTTTGGCTGCACCACGCAGCTTGCAGAATTTTAGTTTCCCTGCCAGGTGTCTGTCCTGGCGGTAAAAGCACGGAGTCTTATCCACTGGGCCGCCGGGGAACTCCCCCCCCCAACCACTTCTGAGTGTACAATTCAATGGCATTAAATACATTCCTAAGATTGTGCAACCATCACCCCTATCTATTTCCAAAACATTTGCATCACCCAAACAGAAATTCTGTCCCCATTAAGCAATAACTCCCCATTCCCCTTCCCACCAGCCCCTGGTAACCTCTGTTCTTCTTTCTCTATGAATTTAACTATTCCGGACATTTCATGGAAGTAGAATCATTCGGCACGTGGCCTTTGTGTCTGGCTGCTTTCACTTAGCATCATGTTTTCAAGTTTTATCCACAATGTAGCCTGGATCAGTACTGCATTCCTTTTCATGGCTGAATAATATTCCATTGTGTGGAAAGACCTTATTTGTACCGCTATATATCCATTCACCTGTAGGTGGACACCCTTCTTCTTGATATTCTCACTCTTATTAGTGAGACGCCCTCCTAAAGTCAGGTTATACCCTTTTGGGCCCAAATGGGCTCAAGATCATTTTTCCTTTCTAAAATTATTTTTAAGTTATTTTCATTCAGTTTCCATTTTTTGAGCATTTTTTCCTATGGGTCAGGACCCAGCAAGGAAGATACATTCTCTGTTGCCATTTTACAGATGAGGAAACTGAGGCTTGAACCATTCATCCAAGGTTACAGAGCTGAGAAATCACAGTCGGGGCTTGAACTTCAAATTCACACTGAACAGGACTGACTCGCTGGCCTGTGAGGTGGGGGCTACCGTAGCAGAAACTGACTTTGCCTGACTCCAAACATGATGCTTTCGCTCTGTGCCGGCAACCACATTACAAAGACTGAGTCCCCGTAAAAGAAAAGACTCACCCAGGGGTTCCCCTAAGAAGCTGGCATTCCCTGTGCATCTGGGTAACGTCCCAAGCCCTGGAAGCTGCAGATAGCTCAGATTCCCCCTTTCAGCCGGAGACCTGAAACCCACCCCATTGGTTCGCCCACAGAGGGCGGCGCCCTGTGATGAGAACCCGCCTCTGAGTCCGCTTCCTCCACCAAAGGACAGAGCAGTAACACCTGTTGCCATGGGGGCGGGGAGGGGGGGGGGTCTGTCCCAACGTGCATCAGGTGCTGGCCATGCACATCTCACGTGCCAACCCGTCTAATCCACACAGATGGCCGAGGGAGTGATGCTATCATTGTCCCCACTTCACAGATGAAGAAACCAAGGCTGAGAACTAAACCAACTGGCCCAAGATCAGCCGGTGGAACTGAGTTCTGGTTGGGCCCACGGGGGCCTCAGTGGCTCGGGAAGTGGCAATAGGTGGAAAATGTAAGGAGGCCCGATGGTCCTGTCCTGCCCACTCACCCGGCCTCACCTGAAGCACCACCTGCGGTCTGGAGTGCCGTCTGAGCTCTTGCCCACGGTCACCATCTCGCCGGAGCGGAAGGCCTTCCTCAGGAACACAGGGAAGGAGCGCTCGATGTCCAGAATGGTGGTGGCCCACTGCGGGGAGGGAGGGAGGGCGGGCAGGCGTGGGTGAGCCGCCCCCAGCCTCGCCTAACTGCTCTCAAGGCAGGAGTGATTCAGTGGGCCAGTCTGGGCAAAGAACTAGGCTTCCCAGCTCCCACTGCCTCTGGATTAAAAACTCAAACACCCACAGGGGCCTGGCAGAAGAAAATGAATGAAGAAGGATCAGCAGCCGGGGCCCCAGGACACCCTGTGTCCCCTCGGTGCTGGGCATCCCCAGGGAGGGGTGGGGACTGGGGCAGACCAGGGGGTGCAGGTCCCCCACCCCGCGTAAAGGGGGCAGCCACCTCTCATCTATCTGAGCGCCGCCAGGCAGGAATGTGAGCTCACCTTGCCAGCCTTCCAACCTTTCAAGAAAGGCCAGAAATCTGGATTTTTCTATGAAATCTCTTAATTTAAAAGTTTTGCATTAATTTAAAAAAAAATATGGTGATGCAGGAAAAAAATAAATCTGGGCTGGTCAAATCCAGTCCCTAGGCTGCCAGTGGCATCTTATGAGTTATACCCAGTGGGGAAACTGAGGCCCAGGGAAGTAAGCGGTATGGATAAAGGTTAAGAGCAAGTCCAGATGGTTCCCTGAGACCCAGACCTGCGAGGAGGACCTTGGAGTTTTTTCTCACTGCGCCTTTTCCTGGAAATGCACCAAGCGATGGGAAATGTGGATGCTGCGTTCCCGGGCCTTACAGCGACAGTGAATTTATTGGGAACCCCAGTTATTGAACTGCATGCACCCAGGCGGGCTGTGACCCCCACCCCCAGGGCCTCTGCTGTCTAGGACTGCACAGCAACCTGTGGGAAGCAAAGGCAGCAGCTCCCCAGCACCCACGAGGCCTGCATCTACATCCAACCACATCTGCTTGGCGGGGGGCAGGTGGGGAACCTGGAAGCTACCCCTGGGCTGGTAGAAGCCCCTCTGATGAGAATGCCGACGCTTCCTGGTTCTGGGGTGGCCTGTACGCATGCCAGCCTTGTCTCCTGGGCCAGGGTGGGGCACGGAAGCTGCCCCCCTCCGCCGTGCTCACTGCAGAACCCTCACTGAAATGTGATGCTCTTTGAGCATTGCCTGTGCCGACAGAGCTCGCTCGCCGACAGAGCTCGCTCAGTGGAGCCGGGTGAAGCTGACTGTATACCACAAACTGGGCCACAAGGGAATCTGAGCCCACTGTTGGTGGTCAGGCAAGAAGCCACCTGGAAGTGTGTTAGGCGGCTCTGGGAACAGACAGCAGTCTTCGGTGCCCATTTTACAGACAGGGCAGTGGAGGCAGAATGAGATGGTGCGGCTCGCCCAGAGCACGAGGCCGAGGGGTTGAGGCGGGTCAGGTGGGCCCATCTTAGAAGGAGAAGAGTGGCCGGCAGGGTGGGGCTGGGAGTCCGGGGGCCTCACCTGCAGCTTCCAGATGTGCTTGCTCTCCTTGGACACCTGGCCCACCGTCTCGCCCATGAGGGCAATGAGCATGTTGAGGAGCAGCACGAACGTGAGGATGATGTAGGTGACGAGCAGGGTGATGAAGACCGCGGGGTACTTGGTGCTGCTCAGCATCTCCAGGTCGCCCATGCCGATGGTCAGCTTGAAGAGGTCCAGGAGGAAGGTGCTGAAGGTCTCGCTGTCACGGCACGAGGGGTACGTGGGCACTGTGCAGTTGGTGTGGTCCTCGCTGCACATCTTCACATTGGCACACGGGTTCAGGAGGGAGACCAGGGCTGTGGGAGGGACGGCGGCGATGTTCACCGAGGGTGAGGACGCCGGCTGAGGAGTGGGGAGGACCCTTCCCATTTGATGGAGGGGAACGCTGAGGCCCGGTTAGGGGATAGCGCTGGCCCAAGGTTACTAAGCGAGGAAGCCACGCCAGCAGTCACATCTGGGCCCCCCTGCATGCAAAGCCTTTGCTCTGTCCACAAACTCTTGTTAACGAGGAAGAGGTTCCCAGGACCTAGTCCAGTGGTTCTCAGCCAGGAGTAATTTTTCCCCCAGGGCACCTCTGGTAGGTCTAGAGACAGTTTTGGTTGTCACAACTGGAGGAGGGAGCACTACTGGCACGTAGTGGGTAAAGATTAGGGATGCTGGGACTTCCCTGGTGGTCCAGTGGTTAAGACTCCGCACGTCCACTGCAGGGGGCGTGGGTTCAATCCCTGGTCAGGGAACTAAGATCCCGCATGCCATGCGGCATGGCCAAAAAAATTAAAAAAAAAAAAAAGACCAGCAATGCTGCTCAACGTCCCACCATGCACTGGACAGTTCCCACCACAGAGAATTATCTGATCCCAAATGTCGGCAGTGCCAAGGCTAAGAAAAACCTCATCGTGCCTATTGTTCTTAGACATCTTGGGAGCCTGGAATGCCAGCATTCTGGGGGCAGACTCTCTCGCGTGCTCCTGTTTCCCAGCTCACAGCAGCCCAGAGAGGAAGGGTGGAAGAAGCTGTTCTCACTAAGACCCTCACCCCCTCCAGACATCTCAAACTGATCGTGGTGCTCACCCCTTCCCACTAAACCCAGAATAAGCTTCAGAGTCCTTCTCAACACAGTTTAGCACCAACATGTGCATCTGCTCCTACACCATTCACAGCAGGGAGCGTGAGGGGGCTGAGCCCCTTCAGTCAGTGGGGCATAGACTGTCACTATGCCTTCAACCTGGGATTACAGTAAGCAGGTTCCAACTCATATACTAATGCTATTCAATTCTGTAGCGACTGCTGAAATACGTGTTGAGAAGGATTCTGTGATTCATTAGCAATGTCTGTCATGGGCACAATAGTGGGAAACAGCAGCACATGTACCATGTTTGGGATATGTTAGCCTCAGAATGAAGATCTAGTGTTCCCTAGCAGGAGAAGCCCTGGGACCAAGCTGACCACTAAGTTGCTACTTTAACCCCTAGGTTTCTGCCTCAGTTTCTATATTTAGGACTGTGGTACGGCTGGACTCTTGATATGACTTTCAAACCATTGGAGAACCCTTGACAATCTGTCTAGTTCTTTCCAGTCCTACTCCTGGTAGGGGCAGTTGGCCCCTGTCCCTCTCTCCCCAGCTAAGCTAAGGCCACAGTTCTCCTTCTCCAAAATAATCCACACAGAGCCTTGGCACCATCTGGGTTAAAATATCACCATCATCAGATTTCCTGCTGCCAGTGCTGGTTCCTAGACCAAACTCCTCAGATGTGAATGTGGCCTGGTGAAGCCTGAGTTGGCCACTCCCGTTTGGATACTGGGCATTGGATGGCAGATCACCCACCCCTTGGGAACCAGCCCAACAGCTTGATTAGTTTCCCCATCCCTGGTCCTTCCCCCATGGTCTGTGCCACTGAAGTCCCACAGCATCAGGTCATCAAGGAGAAAGCCTATTAGAGGGAGCCAGTGCTGAGCCTTAAGAAAGACCTGGGCTGGGGCTTCCCTGGTGGCGCAGTGGTTAAGAATCTGCCTGCCAATGCAGGGGACACGGGTTCGAGCCCTGGTCCGGGAGGATCCCACATGCCGCGGAGCAACTAAGCACACACGCCACAACTACTGAAGCCTGCACACCTAGAGACCATGCTCCGCAACAAGAGAGGCCACCACAATGAGAAGCCCGCGCACCGCAGCGAAGAGCGGCCCCCGCTCGCTGCAGCTAGAGAAAGCCCACATGCAGCAACGAACACCCAACGCAGCCAAAAATAAAATAAATAAATTTATATAAAAAAAAAAGAAAGACCTGGGCTGGTAGATGAATGATTAAAATGCACCCTCCCCTGTAACCACACCCCTTCAATGTGGCTTTGTACCTCCTGCCACCAAGAGGGTAGAGTCTATTTCCCACTCCTTGAATCAAGGCTGGCTTTAAGACTTGCTTTGGTCAATAGGGTGAAGCAGAAGTGATGCTGTGCCAGGCAGTGACCTTGAACACTTCCGCTCACATTCTGGGAACCCTCAGACCACCATGTGACCAAGTCCAAGCTAGCCGGCTGGAGATGAGTGACCCCAGGGAAGACAGCGAAGTCACCCCCAACTGAGGCCACCCCCTAGCTACACCAGTCAGCTGGCAGCCAACCCGCCAGCTGAGCACAGACACAGGAGCCCATCAAGATTAGCCAAACCTGGCCCAGGTCGGCACAACCACCCAGCTGGGCCACAGACTTGAATGTAATCGTCAGTGGTGGTTGTTTTAAGCCACTAAGTTTTGGGTGGCTTCTTTTGCAACAATAGCTAAGACACCAGTCTTACCATTCCCTAGCTTTTGAACTTGGGCACATTATTTAACCCTTCTAAGCCTCAGTTTCCTTATCTGTAAAAGGTGATAAGAAAGGCACTTCCCTTACAGACTTGTTGGGAGGATTAAATGAGGCAGGAATGGGAAAGGATTTAGCCCAGTGCCAGGCACACAATGAGAACTCTACAAACGCTGGTTATTTTCCTCCACACATTGTGGTGGCCGTTCCAGTCCCAGTACCACCCCCGCCAGGCCCACCTGGGCACCCGGATCTCACCTGAAGCGTAGCCAATCATGAAGAGCAAGTAGACCAGCAGGAAGCGGAAAAGATCTTTGAAGAGGATCTAAAGACCCCGGCGGGAATATGGAGGCAAAGATGAGACACGTGGTTTCTCGCTTTCCCAACACCTCATCCCGAATCTTCTCTCCAGCTCCACCCTGTCCCTCTCCGATGTCCAGACCCTGCCCACTGCCCCCACAGCACCCCACAGCCTCAAGGCCGCCAGCACTGTCTGTACATATGTGGTGTGTGTGGCTTCCTCCAAGGACACACAAGTCCAGAGGGAACCCCCCGACCCCATACCTTCTGGATCATGATGCTATAGGTCCCCGTCAGCTTCAGCCCACGGGTGAAGTAAAGGGCGTTCATCCAGCCCAGGACCAAGGCAAAGACCATGACGGCCAGGTAGGCCTCAATCCCCGCCAGGTAGAGGGCCGCCGAGACAATCACCAGCACAGAGTAGATGAAGCTACAGGGCAGCAGAGATCACAAGAGGGGCCAGAGGGGAGAGGGGAGAATGAGGCCCTGGAGGGGGAGGCATGCCCTCAAGCCCTCTAGGTAGTAGGTCAGTCCAATGACACCCAGAAGAGAAACCATGTGGATTCACTGGGTTCCCCAGCATCCTGTTAACCAGAACGCTCAATTAATTGGCAACTGATACGTGTGTGTAATGGCCCTGAGGCCCTACCAGAACCCAAAGTGATGTCCTTTGGAACTGGTAGAGAAAGATTCAGTGGTGTTCAGTGGCGATTTTGTGGCTAAGTGAATATTCATTGTTCTCTAACTCTAAGGAAAAGGGAAAAGCAGTAACACACATGTAACAACACATCCTGTGCCCTAGGCAGACATCATTAATCAATCCCAGCACTCCTTCCCACTAAACACAGACACAGCCTCAAGATTCTTAACATGGGCACTCCTGGCAGACTTTAGCAATTAATCACAAGCATAAGAGGTTAAATTATTTCTATCCATGGTGTATATGGTGATAACTCTTTAGCAACCAGAATCTTGCTTTAACCAGAAGACCCTTTTGCTTGACACTGGCCTTGTCCTGATCAGGCTGGGTGAATTCACTCCTAACAGAGTCAGCCCCTATCCCACCACCAAACCTGGATGATGTCCCTCCCAACCCCACCTTCCTCACCCAGAAGCTGCCACCCCAGGGACCTCTACTCACTAGAGTAGTTGGAAGGAGCCATCGATGAAGAGAGAATTCACTCCAGGGCATTTCTTCATGAACAAGTCTTTGATCTGGAGGACGGGAGGGGACGTGTGAGAGAGGTGGAGCCAACAGAAGTGTGGAGGGGAGGAGAACGGAGCTAAAAGAGGTGGAGGGAGAGGAGGGGGACGGGCAGGTTGGGCGGGGGGATGAGGGGGGAGGCCAAGCACTCACGTTGGTGAAAAAGAACAGGACCCCGGTGAAGAGCGTGATGATCTCGCCGGCCAGCCTCAGGTAGTCCACCGTGGTGAGGTAAGGGTATGGCGGCTGGGGGGCAAGGGGCATGCAAGTCCTCCTCCAGCCCCACCAACATCTGGCCCCAGATCCATATGTTCCCCAACGCCCCGAACATCTACGTCCTGTGGAGCCTCCTCCCTCCCCCTCTTCCCTCTGGGTGTGGGGTAGGCACCTCCCCATCCATTACTGAACCCAGGCCCTCAGCAGTGAGAGCACGGAGTCTTAACCACGGGACCACCAGAGAATTCCCCCTATCCATCCCTAAGCCTTCTCCAGTCCCTCCCACGGGGGAACCCGCTGTGCCCCAGCTTCTGCCTGGTTCGCGGTCACTCACAGTGCCCTCCAGCGGCTGGTAGTAGGCGGTGAGGGTAAAGATGACCATGGCGCACAGATAGGAGGCCACGTTGATGTAGAAGGAAACGGCCCCAAACTTTCGCCACTTGTCCCGAAGTAGTTCATTGATGGGTTCCACGGCCAGCATCTCGTGGCGATTCTGTGGAAGGCGGGGTGGTCAGGGGGCTAGACAGGCTGACTCCAGTACACCTTCCCCCACCCTCTGCCCTGGGAGCACTTTTTCCTCCTAATTTATTCTTCAACGACACCCAAACTTCTAGATATCCCTAAAGAATATCTATTCTTGTGGTCCCCAAACTCCAGTCTGTGGATGGTGCCAAGCCACTGGCAGCAAAATCACCTATGGAGCTTGTTAAAAATATAAATCCCTGGGTTTCAACCTCAGAAATTCTGATTCAGGAAGTGGGACTTGGAAATTTAGCCCAAGGGTAATAAATACTTGACTCACCACAATTTTCCAACTCTGAACCCAGGACAGACATCAATAATTGAGTCCCACAAAATAGTTCTCTATACAGTTCCCTGGGCAGACACTACCAATCAATCAGAGTTTGCAGCAGAGATGCTAAACTTCCCACCATCCCCAATCTAAATCAAGTTGGTCACTAATTTCAAAGATGAGGGAAGTGAGCTCTGGTAGGGGAAAGGCATCTGTCCAAGCTCACAGAGCCAGGGCTAGAAGGGAGACCTTCTGCACCTGGGACCCAGCACTTTCTGCCCCATTTGTACAGCATCCTGTCCCTTTAACGACTTGAGTTTCTTTATCATCAAGGATTTGTGCAATTATGTAGTCACAGAGATGCCACTGCAGTGTTATTCCTGATAGTTAAGTGCAGAAACAAACCCAAATGACCAAGAATGGAGGAATGGTTCATTAGAATGTGGTACATTTCCACACAGCAATGATATTGCAGAAGAATATTTAATGGTGCAGAACGATGTTCATAAAATATTCCTAAGTTAAAAAAAAAGAGCTTTTAAAAACTTCATATAACAAATGCTAATGATAATAGCTGACACATAATGTTTACCCTGCGCCAGGCTGTTCATTTGGTCCTCCCAGCAACCCAATGAGAAATGCTCCATCTTTATCCACATGGTACAAAAGAGGAAGCTGCAACTCAGAGAGGTTGGGTAGTTTGTCCTGAGTCATACAGCACGTAAGTTACAGAGCCAGGATTCTGAACCAGTCCTGCTTGCCCCTGAAGGCCGACCCTTACAACCTCTCATTTCCCCCCGGGGCCAGATGCTGTTCTGGGCACTTAGTTGGCCTCTTCTTCTGCATCCAGTTCACAGACCCACCACTTTGGGCCCCTCCTTCACTGGGCCCCATCTCCTGCCCTGATGCCTACCTCGATCTTGCTGTTGTACACCAGGATCTCCAGCACAGAGGCCTCTTCCCCACACGTGTCCAGGGAGGAGAGGTCATAGAGTGAGGAATACACTGGCCCATAGGCCCAGTCCTTGAACTTGCGGGACAGATGCCTGGTGTCCTCGTCTGTCACCTCCCGACGGATGATGTGCTGAAAGATCTGCATGGGAGGAGGGAGGGTCAGGGGGTCCTCTGGGGGGCGGGGAGCACTGCTGCTGGGCCACACACATTGGAGGGACCCTGGGAGCTTGGTCAGCCCATCAGATAGCACCTTCCCAGAGAGCAGGATGGAGGGAAGGGTAAAATATTTACTGAGCACCTGCTATATGCCGGACCCTTTCCTCACATCATCTTGTTTATTTCCTACCCTTACCATCCTGGTTGACAGATGAGCAAACACAGGCTCAGAGAAAAGAAGGATGTTCCCTGAGGCCACACAGCCCACTGAATCCAGACTGAACCCAGGTCAGCCTTAAAAATCTGAGTTGTCATGAGTATCTTCTTTACATAATTAAAACAGCAATTAATCAATCTTACTGATCAGTTAAATCTAGTAACAATTATCCTATTCGGTCCTTTTTATTGCTACTCCCACTATCTCTGGCTTACACACAGGGGAACTGGGCAACAGATCCAGGTAGGAGTCCCCCCAGGCCACAGAGTTCAATAGGCAAAGCCAGATTTTAAACTCAGGCCTTTTCTACTGCCTCAGGACTCTGGCATAATTGTGATTTTAGTAATTTTTTGCTATGTTTTTAATAGAGGAATAATAACTCTTACCGATTATTGAGCACTTATTACCCATCCCAGGATCTTTATTAACAGCTTTAAGTGGATCACCTCATTGAGTTGTCAGAACACCATACCACAGGGCACTATTGTTATCCCCATTTTACAGATGTGGAAACTGAGGCACAGAGCGGTGAGATGCCTGAGGTGACATGCTGGGAAGTGGCAGAGCCTGGCCTTGGACCCAGGTGCTCCTGACTCTAGAGAACCCCAGATTTGGTTCTCAATCAGGTCGATGGGTGCCCCACCCAGGGGACAATTTGGCAATGTCTGGAGACATTTGGGGTTGTCACAATCGGTGGGGGGTACTACTGGCACCTAGTGGGTCGAGGCCAGGGATGCAGCTAAACATCCCACAATGACACAGAGCAGCCCCACACCCCAGAACATCCAGACCCAAATGGCACTAGTGCCCAAGCTGAGAAATCCTGCTCTAGGCCCTGTGCTGTGAGGCCAGAGAGGGAAGCAACTGGCACACAGCCACTCAGCAGGTTAGAGGCTGAGCCAGGACCCCTGCCATGGAGTAGAGGGGAGTACTGCAGGGCTGCAGCTCTGGGACTCAGTTCTCTGTCAGTGGCTTGCCCTGGCTGGTGGGAATGGGGCAGTGAGCATCCAATGGGGTGGGAAGAGCAGAGAGGCTCTGGGATGAGGTTGAATAGCTTGGCTGGACAATAGGGAGCCACAGCAGGTTCTTGAGCTGGGACATCTGCACACTGGGGTTGGCAGGATGGGAGGTGGGTGTGCACATTAATAATAGTGCATGCCAGCGGCAGTCCCTCCCCTGTGTGTGTGTGTGTGTGTGTGTGTGTATGTATGGAGGGGCAAGAATGGGTGTGTGCCCCCGGCCCTGCACTCACCCCAATCTTGCCCGTCTTGGCGGCCATCATGAGGGGCGAGAGGCCGTCGTTGTTGAGCACGGCCTCCAGGTTGCTGTCGGGGAAGAGGCGGGCACACTTGAGCAGCAGCAGGTCGTACATCTTGGTGACGAACTTGGTGTTCTCGCGAGTGTTGTCAGCGATGGCCACCAGTGCGTGCAGCACTGTGTTGCCACGGGAGTCCTGGCGCCGCATGTCCGCCTTCTTGTGCGGGTTCTCTGTCAGGTAGTTGACGATGTGGGGCTGGTTGGTGCAGGCCGCCAGCGACAGGGGCAGCTCACCTGTAGGTGAGGGGGTGGTCAGTGACGGGGCCCCGGGGGCGGACACTCAGGGGCAGACACCGTGACAATGGACGCAGTGCCCACGGTCAACGTGGACGAGCCCCGGATGACTGCACGTGTCTGGAGGCGATGCCCCCGGGTAGACAGGGGCTGGGGAGGGGGGGCGTCATGTGACTTGGAGGCTGTGAGGGATTCTTTAAGGGACTTTGTGCCTGAACCCCAAATAACATGTGCCTTTGAGCAGGGGTGAAATTTAAAATCTTTCATGGGTCCAACTGGGACATGGCGGTGATGGAATTTGGGCCCTGCAATCCGACCATTAGTCCCAGCTTAAGTCAGACTGGAGGATGCGAGTGTTAAGGGGCAGGGACACCCCATCACAACCCTCTGATCCCATCACGATCCCCACTGTAGAGATGGGGACACTGAGGCTCAGGGCAGTGTGGTGATGCTCTACTCCTCAAAGACAAGACCTCAGTGACCAAGACCAGTAAGGCGGCCCGTGTACCGGGTGCTGTCTGGGCCCGTGGCCAGCGCAGCCCTGGCTGTTTGGGGAGGGGTCAGGGCTGCCAGCACCACCATAGGCCCCCAGCCCCCAGCCTCACCCCCGTGGGCCCCAGGCCCCACCGGGCCCCTCCTCACCAAAGTAGAAGTAGCCTCCCTCATCCTTGGGCTGGAAGAAGCGTCCCCGGGCCTGGGCGTGAACATCGGCACCTTGGGCCACCAGAAGCTCCACGTAGTGTTTGCAGCGGCGCTCGATGGCGATGTGCAGGGCGGTCTGGCCTGGGATGGGATGGGGGACAGTCACCGGGGGCAGAGACCCGACCAGTCGTGGGAGGCGCTGGGGTGCAAAAGGGAGAAATCCACCCGAGGGCAGCAAATAGACCTTCAGACATTCCCAGACGTGGCGTCTCTGACGCCCGAGGTCCCAGATCTGCTGCGTCACGCAAGCAGAATCCTAGGCTCAAGGGATATCCAACTCGGAGGGTCCCAAATGTGGGAACTTTTCAGACTCATAAGAGGCTTTCATCCTAGAGGAAACAACGGCATCATGGTCTCACAGAATTTGGGATATAAAATTCACAGCCTTTGAATCTGCATATCCAGGAATCTGGAAAGTCAAGTTGGATTCACAGATCTCAGAATTCAGACCCAGGGAGCTGGCACCGGTGACACCTGTGCCTCTCTGAGCTGGTGGCTCATAGAACTATTGCAACAAAGCCTCAGAGTATCCAGAACCAGAGCATCTTGGGTCCAGATTTCCAGGTTCACGGCCCCTTTGGCTCACTGCATCTGGGAACCTTGGAACCTTTGATTGTGAAACTCAGAATATCCAAGTTGGAAGGGGTAGTTATTGTCCTTTCGTCCGTTCATTCATTCATTCAACAACTGGTTCCTGGGGACATGCTGGCACTTGGGGCCCAGGCTGAAGCTCTCAGTTGGGGGGATGGTTGGACAAGTGAAGACGGTGCCCCCCTCCTGCCCAGCCCAGGGCCTCACCTCGGTAGTAGATGTCCCGGAAGGGCGAGTTGATGAATTCGCGCATGTTGCCCGTGCGCTCAGCGATGTCCAGAAGCACAGGGATTGTGTCGTTGCGGCCGTTGCTCAGATTCAGCAGGGCTTTGGGCAGGCAGGTCTTCCCCGTGGATGGCTCTGTGAGTAGAGACGTGCGGGAGAAGGGGCGCTCGGCCCGTGGCCCAAACTGCTGGGCAGCTGTGGACAGGGCACTGGGCAGGGAGCCAGAGGTCCTGGCCGTGTCGGTCCTCCTCTCCGAGCCTGTTCCCTATCTGCTCCCCATGGTACTGAGAAGGTCAAATAAACTCAGAGGAGCAGAAGTTTTTTTTGTTTGTTTGTTTTGCAGGCCTCTCACCGTTGTGGCCTCTCCCGTTGCCGGACGCGCAGGCTCAGAGGCCATGGCTCACGGGCCCAGCCGCTCCGCGGCATGTGGGATCTTCCCGGACCGGGGCACGAACCCGTGTCCCCTGCATCGGCAGGCGGACTCTCAACCACTGCGCCACCAGGGAAGCCCAGGAGCAGAAGTTTCTTAAAATGTGGGAAGCTGCAGCCTGTAGAGAGGTTGGTGTTTACCAAACCATATCTGGAGAGAATTTTAAAAAATCAAATAAAAAGGGGGAATGCTGGGTTAAACAAAGCCAACCGTATTTCTTCACTACAGGACTTCTCAGAACCTTTAATCTGTTAATGAGGACTGCGAACCTCTAAAAGCAGACCCAGGAGGCAGTCTTTGCCTGCCTATTTGCACGTAGATCCTTTTCCCATGAAGCGATTACACTAGTGCCCCTAGAGGGGAGCAGAGGGAGTGCAGCATTCCCCAAAGTGGAGGCTGTGAGCCATAGCGAACGTGAAATTACCTTCGAGGATTTGGGGGCTTCTGCAGATGCAGCAATAATAACATTAAAAACCCGAGTGTGCAAGGTTTCATCCGCTTGACAAATCCCTCCTGTGAAGTCAGTCTTTGTTTTGTCCTAATGGGTCCTTAACATCTCCCACTAACGCTTACTGTCCCTTTGCAATTTTCTTTCCCTTGTATTAATTTTTATGGTGACAGGAGTTGATTTATATCTTTAAAAGAGCGAGTCAGTGAAAAGAGAACTTACCTGTGAATCAGGCAGGGGGCAAAACGGCCAGATGCAGGAAGGGGATCAGGAAAGGGATGAGGAATGCGAAAGGCAGGTGTGGGCTGAGGGGCCCGCTCTGGAGCCAGGTCTCTGGGGGCTCAAATTGGGCTTTGCTCCTGATTTCTGTGTGACCTTTTCTGCTTCAGTTTCTTGTCTAGCTAAATTGAGGCTACAAAGGGAAATTGTGGGACTTCCCTGGTGGCACAGTGGTTAAGAATCTGCTTGCCAATGCTGGGGATATGGGTTCTATTCCTGGTCCAGGAAGATCCCACATGTCACGGAGCAACTAAGCCCGTGCGCCACAACTACTGATCCTGCGCTCTAGAGCAGGCGAGCCACAACTGTTGAGCCCGCGAGCCACAACTACTTAAGTCCACGCGCCTAGAGCCCGTGCTCTGCAACAAGAGAAGCCACCGCAATGAGAAGCCTGCGCACCACAACAAAGAATAGCCCCTGCTCGCCGCAACTAGAGAAAGCCCGCGCACGGCAACAAAGACCCAACGCAGCCATAAATAAATAAACATATATATATAAAAGGGAAATGATGAGCTAATAGGTATTTGTTGATGAGCCCAGAGCCAGGCAGATAGGAGTCTTCAATAAGTAATACTGCTGCCTTTATTACTCCACGAGAAATGCTTTAGAGCCTCTCCTTAGGTGCTGGGAAGTGGTGAAAACGCAGAGACCTGAATTTCTGTCCCACGCTCCTAGGAGTGAGGTTGCTCGGACAAGCCTTGTTCTGGTTACTTTTCGCTACACCCCTGGCGCCCAGCCCAGAGTCAACACCAGGTAACTATGTACCGAATGATAATGGACTCCAGTTCCCCATCTTCTTAAGGTGGAGGGGACCCCAAATGCTGGCCGAGGTCCCTGGGGATTCTGTCCAGACACACCCGCACTCAGGGGAACCTCAATCAGTCCATTTTCTAATTGTCAGGCAACTCATGATTCTCCACACTGACCTTGTCATCTTTCCCTCCCCAAAGCCCAACCCGGTCTGCATGTGTCCCCTCCGTAGATGATGGTGTCCCCAGCCAGCCAAAACTTGTGTGTCACTCTTATCTTTGTCCTCCCTTCTCCCCACATCCAGCAAGTCCCACAGATTTTACCTATTTCTCCAACCCCTCCACCACGCTCCATCTCCACTGCCACCAACCTGGCCCAGCCACCATCTCTCTCACATGCCTGGTTTCCACCAGCCTCTCTGGACGTCCTTTAATCCACTTTCCACATAGCAACTGAGTCCAACTCTGGTCATGTTTAGCCACAGGGCCTTTGCACATGCTGTTCTTTCACCTCCTCTCTAATCCTTCCTCCACCTCTTTTTACCTGGCTAACTGCAATTCATTCAGACTTAGCTCAAGTGTCACCTCCTCCCAGAAATTCTCCCAGATCTTCCTGATTAGGTCAAATTGTCCAATACAGCCTCTTGTGGACACAAATTACAGTTTGTAATTGTGTATTTATTTCTGTGATTGCTTGATCAAGTTGGTCTCAGCCTCGAGACTGAGAGCAACTTGAGGACAGGGTCATGTCTGCTTCACTCACCACTTCCGCCCCACACCAGCACAGAGCCTGACACTTGGTAGGTGCCCAATAACCACTTGTTGAATTAATACACATTCAGCGAAGGGGCAAGCTGGGCACTGCAGGGAATTCCAAACCACAGGAGCTCAAGTGGTTTGTGTGGGATGTGGAACTAGACCCTGGATTTGCACTTCCACACTCCCAGGCCCAGGCTGTAGCAGGGTCCGGGGCTGCCAGCCTGGGTCCTGGTATAAGACACGAAGAACGGCGGCTACCCAGAAATGGGGAGGGGTTGCAGTTACGGACTCCACCAGCAGGTGGCGAAGTAGCTCTGCCCATGAGGGGATGAGGGGAGGCTGGAGCTAAGGGCCCTAAGTTAACTGCCAAGTTGGAGGTTGTGTATGGGCGGAGGGGCGGGCCGGTCACTGACTCCCCTAAGAATCAATGAGCCTCCGGCTCACGAGCCTCTGGCTAGAAAAACACGCAAGGGGCAAATCCAGGTTTTGGGGAGCCTGAGACTTACACAATTTGGGGATCCTGTTAATGAAAGCGAACACACAATTACAAGTTCCAGATTAGGTCCAGGGCTACAAGGGGCCAGAGCAAGCAAGGGGCCTGAAGCCTAATTAATGGGCCTGTAGAGGGTAAATCCCCCTCTACAGGTGCATTACTCTGTACAATTTCAGGGCCCTCTCCCAGCCTATCTTAGGGTCCCCCACCCACCCTCATGCAGACACACTGGCCTGGGGGTTCCCAGCCTAGGCTTAGAGCCCCCTTTCAGCTCAGTCCTGAACTCAGAAGCCAGAAGGCTTGGCAAGCCCAGCCTGACGCTGCTCTGACCGCCGAAGCACAGGCGCCATGATCCCCATCTCACGGGGGTTCGCTCCACACCAAAGCTCCCCACTTTTGCCTGGTGAACTTGGGGGGCCAGGTGGGGCCATTTGGTCGGGGCTTAAATGTGGGTTATCGCCAAATGAGATTCACACCATCACGGAGACCCTCTCCACAACTCTAAGCTCGTGCCCCAAACGAGGCCACAGCACCTGGCTGGGTACCATGAATGAATATTTTTTATAAGTCCGGTAATTCTCTTCGGATGGACACAATAATACAGCATCGTATCGTTTTGGTGTTCAAAGAATCTGGTTGATAAAGGTATATGTGAAAAATATACTGCAGACCCGGTCAGCCTACTTTCACACCTAATTTACTTGAAGTACCTAAAGTCTCCAAAAATGGCCCCTGATCTCCCTGAAGCTTCGTCAGCCCCGAGCTGCCACAATTCTCGACATTTTATATGGATCTGTGGGGTCACTCGGCCAGTTAATTACAGCTCACCTGGCACCCGGCACTTAGCAGGTGGCTGACTTGGGTGGAGAGGCTCACAGGCCACCTTCCCCAATTTGCAGGGAAGCCCTGGGGTAGCGGAGGGAGCTAGTGCCCCGAGGTGGGTGTTCTGAGCCTGGACAAGGCTGGAGAGTGAGCTGTCTGGGCTGAGTAAGTCCCAGGGCAATGGTGACTGGGCTCCAGCCTATAGCGGGGAGCCAGAAAGCTGGGCAGGGAGGGGGGGCAGAGCCTCAGAAGCAGAAGCAGGAATGCCCTGCTCCCCACTCCAGAGCTCCCCTCAGAGGGGGCAGGAGCTCCTGGGACCCCAGCTGCCTTGTGCTTGGCACTGTGGAATTCTCTGTCCTCAGAGGCCAGGACTACGCTATTATTATTCCCCAGGGTACAGATGAGGAAACTGAGACCCAGAGAGGCCACACGTCCCTTAAGTGGTAATGGTGGGATTTGAATCCAGGTGGGTAAACTCTGCTCACCTATGACACTAATCTTTTCATAAATGAAGGCTGAATGAATGAACAAAGAAAGGCAGCAAAGGCCCAGAGAGGTTAAGTAATATGGTAAAGGACACACAGGACCAGACTCCCTGTCCAGTGCTCTTCCTGGCTAGTGCAGCCCACTAACCCAAGGGAAAATGCTGAGGGGAAAGGGGGCCCCCAATGCCAGGCCTCCCCCAACCCCCAGCTGGCCCACCTGCTATTCCTGGGTGGCTTACCCCGGAACTCCTCATCAGTCAGCCGCTTCTTGTGGGTCAGCAAGAAGGGGAGCAGCCCGTCCAGGTCAGCGGTGGAGCCCCGAGACACGATGTCAAAGAGGATAGGCCGGTTGAAGACTTTGAGTATGGGAGGCGGCTGGGGCGTGGGAGCTTTGGAGCTCTGTGGCTGCTTCCTGAAGGGGGAGGAAGCCGGGTGATAGGAGGGCTCATCCTCTGCCCATCCCACAGTGTCTAGACTTAGGGGCCCAGGGATTGGGGGGTGGGGGCAGCTGGAGCCCTAGGGAGGGACCAGACTGAGAGGAGAAAGACATCTGGAGACACAAAGGAATGTTTTATCCCAATAGACTCTACCTGGTACCTGTGTGTTGGTTGGAGACAGACAAAAAACACACAGCCCACCCATCCACCCACCCACCCATCCATCCATCCATCCATCCACCCACCCACCCACCCATCCATCCATCCATCCATCCATCCACCCACCCATCCATTCACCCATCAATCCACTCATCCATCCGTCTACCTATCCATCCATCCATCCATCCATCCATCTATCTATCCATCCATCCACGCACACACACACCCATCCACCCATCCACTCTTCCATCCATCCATCCACCCATCCACACACCCACCCATCCACCCACCCACCATCCATCCATTTGTCATTTACTAAGTACTTAAGAATCCAGAGACTGGAAGAGACAAAGATAGTAAGAAAATAAAGGAGGAACACCAGACTAAAAGATGAAGCAACTCTATCTTTTATTCAATCATTCACTCCTTGATTTATTCATTCAACAAACATTTGAGACAACTGAGGCCACGCACATAGGTGCTTAGTCCAGGCCCCACCGAAGTAAACACCCAATAAATGTTAGCTGATATTCCTGTTATTATTTAGCGCCTACTGTGTGTCCAGAGTCTGTATGTGTGGGAGAAATGCCGAGCTACAGAGGCAGGTGGAGACAGAACAAGATGGAGAGGGCCGGGGGAGAGGAAGCGATGGAGAAAGAAAAAAGGGAAAAAAACACACATTCATTCAGTCATTCAATAAACACTCATTGGGCACCTACTGTGTGCTAGGTTTTGAGAGCCAAAGAGCTGGAGCAGCAGCAGCCCAGGGGCACCATGAGGGCAGGGACGCTCTGTGTCATGTCCTCACGCACCCAGTGCCCGGAACATACAAGGGCGAAGAACAATCTGTGAAATGAAGACAGGATGGAGAAGAGAAAGAGGTGGAGATGGGGAGGGAGAAGAGGGGGTGTAGGGGAGCAGAGAGTGAACCACGACAGAGGTGGCAGGGCCAGAGGGGGAAGGGACACTGAGGCAGGGGCTTCAGGGCAGAGAAGGCCAGCGGCTCACCAGGGGGAGTGGACAGCCGCTCTCCCTCCTTCCTCTGCCCGGGCCCCAGATCTTACACCCCAGGGCAGGGCCTCCAGTGATGGGGGGCCAGGGAAGGGGGAAGAGGTGCTTCCTGACGACGGGGGCACACAGGCTAGGGCAGCCCCCATTTTATCTGCTCCTGAACTGTGACCTTTGAGCCAAAAAATGAGATGAAGTAACACCCTCGCCCTCAGTCTTCACCGAGGCAGCCTTCGGGGTCTCTGAAGACCTCAGCCGCTTAGCCACGTCCCAAATCCTCTGCGGCCCCCGCAAAGCCGTTAGCCCTGGCTGTCTGGGGTAATGGTGGGGATGAGGGCTTGAAGGAGGGGATCTGAGGGAGGGGAAAGGGAGACAGGGAGTCCACAAGCTTCCAATGGGACCTTGGAGGGATGGGACACCAGGGCACTTTGCTGCCCTGGGCCTGTTTCCACCTCTGAGTGGAGGTTATGCAATTTGTCCAGTACAGCATGTGGACTGCGAGGCCCCATTTCTTGGACACATTGAGCCCCTCTAGCCTTGGGCCCCTGTACATGCACTTCCCTCCACCTGGAACACCTTCCTCCCACCACCCCCGCTGTGTGGCTGCCCTTTTTCACCCCTTAGCGTTGGGCTTAAATGTCAGCTGCTCCAGGAAGCCCTCCTGGACTACCTTTTCTGTATCAGCTCCCCTCTCCCACCTCAGCACCTCCCCCAAAGTGAATTGTCTAATCACTTGCTTATTACCTGTCTTGTCCTCCAAACTGAAGGTACCAGTGACAGCTACTCAGTGTCTGAGCTGAGTAGGGGTAACGTCTGTTCTGACTCACCCCTGGAGCCCCAGGGCCCACCGCCCTACCTGGCATGTGGCGGGTGCTCCAGAAACGGTCACCGAACAAACCGGTGGCTCAGTGAATAAATAAAGGAAACAAAGGAAGGGCTGAGGAGGTGAGTGGGCTTCATCCAAGGGCATAAATGAGTCTGTGATCAGCAAGGGGGAACAGAGGAGGACCAGCTGACAACAGGGCGTCTGCAGACTTCAAGACTCTCCTCCAGACACACACACAGGCCTGAGAGAGGTTTTCATGGGCGGATGGCTGGGCAGAGAGACAGCAGATGAATAGATGGGTCGATAGATATTTGAATGAGTGATGATGGATGGATGGACGGACTGGACAAGTGGATGGGCAGATGGAAGGGTGGGTAGCTGATGACAGAGAAAGAGAGGGAAAGAGAGAACAAAAGAAAGACATGGAAATGAAATGAATGAATGAATGATGAATAGTTTGATAGCTGACTGGCTGGATGAACAGAAACAGTGAGTAGGTGGGAGAATGGATGGATTTTGGCTAAGTATATGGTGGATAAATGGAAGGTTTGTTGTATGAGTGGATGACTGGCCAGGTAAGATGGGACAGATGGATAGATGGGTAGATAGATATTCGAATGAGTAGATGATGGATGGATGGACGGACTGGACAAGTGGATGGCTAGGTGGAAAGATAGGTAGCTGGATGAATGAATGAGTAGATAATGGATGGATACACAGATGGATGGATATACAGATGGATGGATAAGTGGACAGACAGATGAATGAATAGACAAGTATACAGAAAGGTGGACAGATAGGTGGATGGATGGATGAGTGAATAGGTAGACAAATGAATGAATGGATAGAAGGATGGATGGATGGATGGGTGAATGGATGGATGGATGGATGGATGGATGGATGGATGGATGGATGGATTCAATACAGAGGCGGAGACCCTCGGCCAGGCAGCCAGCAATACTCACTCTATGACCTTCCTCCTCCACCGCTTGTCACTGGGGTGCTGGCGATAGGTGCCATAGTCAAAGAGCGAGTCCATGGGCGCCTTCTTGGGCCCAGGCACCACTGAGGACTCATACAAGGTGGACTCCAGCAGGTCGATGGGGTTGGGCACCCCCTTGCGGAAGGCGCCCTGGAACTTCATGCGCAGGTTTGGTCGCCCATCGCCTGGGCCGGTGGGGCGACCGCTGTCAGCCGGAGAGGGCGATGGGGAGCCGTCCTCCCCCTCGAACAGGTTGGCCAGCGAAGAGAGGGGGAAGGCCTCCCCGCCGGGGATGCCACTCTCATCCCCGGGGGGCTCGGCTACCTCCCCAGGCCCCGCACGGGGGCCTTCGCTGGGATCCGCCATGCTGCCCCTGGACCTGTCTGCACTGCTCTGCCTGCAAGGGAACAGGAGGGGAGTCAGGCCGGCTCCAGGAAGCCCCCTCCCACGTGGGCAAACAGCACTGCTGCCAGCTTCTTCAAAGCCACCGTTGTAATGACAGGGGTTCAGGGTGGCCACTCCCAGATGTGGTTGGCCGCCAGCCCCCGGCAGGAGCTGCAACAGAGCCTCTTTCAGGGACCTGGAAACATGAGTCTGCCTCAGGTCCAGCTACCCTGGACGTTAGCTGGAGGAGAAAGGGCATCCGAGTCACACTGGGTCCCCAGATCTGGAGCCTGGGGCCTACTTCTGGCCAACCAAGCCAGCTTCGGGGCCCCCAGAGCAGGGTTCAAGTTCCAAGCTCCACATTTAGCAACCGCGTGATGCGAAAGTGGATGGGTCACAGCCTCGGTTTCCTCACCTGTGAAATGGGGATGCTGGAGCAGAGAGCACGTGTTCCAGCGGCCAGTGCCGCGCCTGCCACACCGTAAGCACCTACTAAAACAACCACCAAATCTATGCTTCAGGGACACTAGGCGCTCAGAAATACTCACAAACCCACTGTGGGAGTCAGTAGCCCTCAAGTTCCCAGCACCGTCATTATGACCCCATTTCACAGAACAGGAAACCCAGGTTCTGAGAATTTAGTTAACTTCCCACAGTGCACAAACTCTGCTTCCCAGTGCCAAGCGCTGACCCCTTCCCTCCCCTCTTTGCCTGGTTAACTCCTGCCCACCTGCGATCCCAGCTCATGTCCATTCCTCTGGGAAGCCCTCCCTGACCATTTGTTCATGAGATTCGTTAATTCCTGAGCTGTGAGCACCAGAAGATAGGGAATGCATCTGTTTCGTTCACTCCTGTGTCCCTGACACCTAGAAGGGTGTCACATGGACACACGACCTGATGACAAAGGTATTGTTTGTTCCCATTTGTCAGATGAGGAAAATGGAGCTTTAAGAGGGGAAGTCATGGGCTTCCCTGGTGGCGCAGTGGTTGGGAGTCCACCTGCCGATGCAGGGGACGCAGGTTCGTGCCCCGGTCCAGGAGGATCCCACATGCCGCGGAGCGGCTGGGCCCGTGAGCCATGGCCGCTGGGCCTGCGTGTCCGGAGCCTGTGCTCCGCAACGGGAGAGGCCACAGCAGTGAGAGGCCCGCGTATAGCAAAAAATAAATAAATAAATAAAAAGAGGGGAAGTCACATAGCTTGTAAGAAGAGTTGGACTTCAACCCAGTTCTCTCTGGCTCCCAGGCCCAACTTTTAGCCAGGAGAAGGGCAAGGGAGGGAGAAGGCCCTGCTGGCTGTCAGCCCCCTGCCCTCTGCAGCACGCCACTGGGAGGGCTAGACACCAAGGGCAAGTTTCCTGGAACTCCTACCATCCCATCCAGGCTGCAGGAAAACGTCTGGAAAGCCCTCTTTTCTATATCTCTCCATCCCCGCACATTAGCAGAAAAACAAATAAAGATTGGTCTCCACCTTGTTTGTTTTGTGGCTGCCCGGAGGGAAGGCTAGGGCACTGCAAGAGGCCTCTCTCGGCAGGTGCAGCAGGGCACAGAGGGTCAGAGCTCCTGCCGGGGACAGACCCCCTTCTAGGCACCAGAGGGTAGGGAGAGCCTAGATTTTAGAGTCTTCCAGGCCTGGGTTCTAACCCCAGCTCTGCTATTTATGTGCAGCATGACCTTGAGAAAGTGACCTTAGCTACCTGAGCCTCAGTTTCCTCATTTGTAAAATGGGTACAATATAGTAGCTTTCTTCATACGTTTGCAGGAAGAAGTAAATGAGATCAGGCATGTCCAGTGTCAACCCTGGGATTAAACTGGGAGCTGTCAATGATTATAATCAAAGGAGTAAGTAAGGGTTAGGAGCACAGTTGCTGAAATCAGATATACCCAGTTCCCATCTTGGCCCTGGTTAATTAGCAGCTGCGTGATCCTGGGCAAATCACTTCCTCTCTCTGGGCCTCAGCTTCCCCACCTGTAAAACCAGGGTAACCACACCTCCTCCTAAAGCTCTTGGGAAACGCCAGTGCCCTCAGGAATTTGAAGCACCCACTTGATGCCAGCACTTAGTAGGACTTCAGGAGACATTAGTTCCTATCCACCTGCCAGGTGGGAAAGGGAGACCCCTAGTGGCTGCCACATGAGTCTGGGCTTAGTAATGCAGGAATGGGGGTATGTGGAGGCAGAGAGGGTGTCCACTGGGGTGCAGGCATTGAGGGGGAAGATTAGACTTCCCCCGGCCCAGTCCTGTTCACCTCAATGGGGACCCAGGGTCAAGGGAAGAGGAGGCATTGGGCACGTGCTTCTGCTGTTAACACCCTCCTTATTACTGCACCCCTGTCCCACAGGGGCAGGACAGCCCCTGCCTTAGGGGGGGGCAGAGGAGGCAGCCGCTCAAACCCCCGCCATGCCTGCACCCCCTGCCCTAAGAAATCTCAACTCAGATGGCATCCAGGGTTTCTGGGGACTCCACAACAAGGGGTCTGGAGTCAGCCAGCCCCAGGTTCAAATGCCCCCTCTGCCACTCACACACTGCTCGTAGCCTTGACAAGACACATAGAGATCAATATGAACATATTAATTATGGTGAAGTAGCAGTTTTGAACTAAACCCCCATCTTCATCGTGATTATGTGGCTCTGATGGGCCCAAGTGCTTCATACATGCACTCTCATCCGGTCCTCACTGCAACCTTAGACCAGCAGTTCTCAGCTGGGGGCCCTTCTGCTCCCCAGGGACACTCGGCAATGTCTGAAGACATGTTTGGTTGTCACACTGCGCAGAGGAGAGAGGGCTACTGGCATCTAGGGGGTCAAGGCAGACCAGGGATAGTGCCAGACATCCTACAATGTACAGGACAGTCCCCACCATAAGGAACGACCCAGCCCAAACAGTCAATGATGCTGAGGTTGAGAAATCCTGCCCTGGAGGTAGGTACTGCTATAATTCCCCCTTCACAGAGAAGGAAACTGAGGCTCAGAGAGGTTAAGTGACTTGCCTGAGGCCATCCAGCAGGTTAGTGACAGAACCAGGATTCAAATCCTGGCAGTTGGCTGTGGAGCCTGGGCTACCCTAACCCCTCAGTTGAAGGCATGGCCTGGGAGCCAGGCGCCACACCAGACCCTTAGAATATCTTGTTCAAGGTGCACAACAGCCCCGGGAGGTAAGGGTTATTATTCTCAGCTCATGCTAATCTCTCTGAGCCTTGGTTTCCCTACAATAAAATGAGGGTTGCAAAACAGCTTCTATCCCATAGGGCTGCTGTAATGGGCAAGTCAGGTGTCTCTTGGGCACCTAATAAGCACTTGACAAATACTTTAATCATCGTCGCCATTATGATACGGTCCCAGTTTACCTGTCCTCCTCACCACCCCGCCTGCCGGGCACACACATGTGGTAGGACTACAGCCTGGTATTCACGGCCCAGGTTAACATTCACCAAGCCCTCCCAGCTTCTCCCTTGGTTAACCGGCCAGAGCCTCCCATTTTACAGCTGAGGAAACTGACTCTGAGATGCCACACGGAGAGTGAACGAACGGCCTTGAAGAAGGCCTCTGGACTCCGAACCTTGGACTCCTTCCACACCACACAACCCAAGTGCGTACAGACACCACTATGCACATCCACACACACATACACGTGTACACACATGTGCGTGCGTGCACACATACACATACACACACAGCCTGCTCTGTGGCCATCCCCTCCCCAAACACTGCCCTGTTCTCTGTGGTTGGGGATAGAGTTCACTCCCTGTTCTAATTTGCCCTGTAGGCTGTTATTACACATTCCAAACCCATGCCAGATTTAGAGGGAAGGAGGGGTACAGGGCAGGAGAGAGGCTGAGAGTCCTCCTTCATATCCTCTGTGTGTAAATATCGTGTATGTTTCTTCCTGTCTGTCCCCATGTGATCCGGCACATGCCAGCTTGCCTGCTGTGAGCCCCTGGGAATGCCTTTGCAGCAGGTAGCACCCAGATGGCACCAGGAGCATGTCTGGGTCTCAGCGAAGGACATTTAGGCAGAGCGTGGACATCCCCACACACTGTGTGACCGCTGTGTTCACTTAACGCAGCAGATTTCAAATGTTTTTGTTTTAGCATCAAGCAGCAGGACTGGAAACCATTCACCTATGTATTTACTCAACAAATGTTTATTGAGCACCTATTGTGTGCCAGGTCTTGGGGACACAGACGTCAGCAAGACAAAGAACTCCTGCCCTGCTGGGGCTGACCTGGTGGGAAAACAGAAGAAACCGCTATAGACAAAGCAAGAAGCTGAGGCATGTCTGGTGGCAAGAGCTGGTTAGACCAGAAGCGCTCGGGAGTGGCCGAGGTCAGGGGTGCAGGGGTCCCGGGCGGGGTGAGGAGATACAGTGCTGAGCCAGGGTCCCCAGGCCTTCCTCTCTGCCTGGGTCAGACTCCAGGCTCTCCAGAAACATGGCTGAAGGTCATGCACTCTGCTCTGATGGCCCTGCGGACTCAGTCAGAGCAGCCAAACCCACAATCCCTCCCCCCTAAGGAGGGGGCACCTGGCAGGAGCTAAGGGGGCATGAAAAGAACTTGCATTTTGATGTCAGAGCAGCGGGTTGGCTCCCAGACTCACCACTCATCAGCTGGAGGAGCCTGAGAGACTGACTTAGCCTCTCCGAGGCTCGCCTGCCTCACCTTTCCTTGAGGAATTTAACTGGGTCACCGTGAGGATTATATGCATTGAGTCAAGCACCCGGCACAGAGTGAGCCCTCAGTAAACAGCAAAGCGCAAGACTACGTGAGCGGCAGGTGCCTTCTGAGAATCCCGGCCTCAGCAGGGGTGGGGTGGAAGTCTCTTGCTCCATCCCCCTGTCCCCACGCAGACGGTAGAAGAAGGGACCCATCCTCACCGTTACCCCGTGGCTTTGCCTGATCTCGTGGAAACCCTGGCACGTAATGTCAAATCCCATCCTCCTGATTACGTGACCAAGGAAAGCTGCTTAAATCTGGGGGCAAGTTTAGGCGTGCAGGGGCTGCTCTACCCCAGGGGGAGGAATTCCAGGGAGCTGGGATCAGTGCACTCCGTCTGCTGAGTGCCACCTGCTTGCAGGGCAAACAGGAGTGGAAGCTCAGGGAATTCACAGTCTAGGAGGGAAGGCAGATGGCTTTCCCCCTCCAGGCCTTTGCCTGGGCTGTTCCCTCTGCCTGGGATGTACTTCCTCCACTAACCCTTTCTTTGAGTATCATCTCAACCAGCACTTCCTCTGAAAAGCCCTCCTGCCCCCCCCCCCCCCCAGTCTAAACCGGCTCCCTTGTGTTCACTCTTAGAGCAAATTGTGCCTCTCTTTACAGCGCTTCTCATGATTAGACTTTGACCTTTACTTATATCATTCTTTTATTCATCTTCTCTCTTCTCCTCTAGTTTTGAGTTCCATGAAGGAGGGACTCTTTTGTGTCTGCTGTCTCCCCAGCAATCAGCATCGTGCCGAGGCATCAGTAAGTTCTTACATTGCAAGGCAAGGTCCTCTGAAGTTCTGGAAGGAGGAAGGTGGGAGGAGGCAGCACTAAACCTGACGGGCACAGGGAGGGGCTGCAAGGAAGAGGGCTTGACAAGTGGAATGGGATACAAGAGCAGAGGAGACAGCGAGGTCAAGGGTACGGAGCTGGGAAAGAGCAGGGGGCACTGAGGAACGGTGCAGCCTGAGGCATCAGAGAAGAAAGGTGGGAAGGAAGAAAAGATGGGTGAGTGGGTGGGCGGATGGGGAGGTGGGGAGGAAGATGAGGATGGATCCCAAGGTTTGCTGGTGCCGAGAGAGAAAACACCGGCTCTGTCCAACCCCCCTCCCTCCAGGTGAGGAAACTGAGGCTCAGAGAGGTGGAGTCACTCTTACAGGGTTGCCCAGCTCCTTAGAGGCAGAAGCAGGTCTAGGATCCACGTGGCC